AGTACCACCCTCCCTCTCCTCTGAGCACCTGTACCCCCTTTACCTCCACAGAGTGTAAGTGCCCCCAATCCCTCCTCAAAATGCCAGTACCACCCTCCCCATCCTCTGAGTGTCTGTGCCCCCCTCTACCACCACATAGGGCCAGTGCACCCTCTACCTCCACAGAGCACCAGTGACCCTTCTCCATCCGCAATGCATCAGTGGCCCCCCCTCTCCTTCATGCAGGGCATCAATGACCCCTCTTCCTACTCAGATCACCAGTGCCCTCTCTACCTCCTCAGAGCACAAGTGCCCCCTCCCTCCTCGGAGCACCAGTTCCCCCTCTCCCTCCTCAGAATGCCAGTGCCCCATCCCCCTCCTCAGAGCACCAGTGCCCCCTCTCCCTACTCAGAATGCCAGTGCCCTCTTTACCTTTGCAGAGCACCAGTGCCCCCCCTGCAGAGCACCAGTGCCCCTTCCCCCCACCGCAATACGCCAGTGCCCCCCTCTCCCTTCGCTGACCACCAGTACCCTCTTCTCCCTATGCAGAGCACCAGTGCCCCCACTCCCTCTGCATAATGCTAGTGCCCCTCTCTCCCTCATGCAGGGCATCAGGGCCCCCTTCTCCGTCCACAATTTCAGATTTAACAGGTGATGTGGGGCAGATGAACCCTCTCACTCTGTCAAAGGATGAGGAGGTGGGAACTTTGAGGGTGGGAAGGTTGCTTAGCAACATGTTATACTCTAAATAGGGGTTGCTAAAGGTGGAGGTAGCCTTTAAGGAGTATTTTGTGGGTACAAAGACAGAAGCACATGTGTGCAGTTTGTACTGCTCATAGGCTTAGATGATATTTAACTATGTTTCTTATGCCACGCCCAATAGCCAGTGCAACGAAGCCACACCCACTTTTTGTTGCAGCGCTGCATCTTTTTGCCTTTCAAGTTGTCTCTCACTGTCAATTGCAAATGTTGGGAGTAGGAGAATACCAGATAGCATATGTAAGGGAGTTACAGAAGAGGTGAGAATTAAATAAAAACCCCAGGAGATGAGAGTGTAGAAATGTAAATAGAGTAGAACTGGGAAGATCAGATCGTCAGGGGAAGGTTATGCTTTGATGAGTATCTGGCAGCTAAGATTAAGTCATATGGAAGCTGAAGAGAACTTTTCAAGTTTGTAAAGGAAATGCTGAAATGTGTTCGTTCTTACTGACAGCCAATGAAGGAAATGACATATAAGAAGTAGCTCTGGGGTAAGAGAGAAGAGGTGCAGACAGAAGAAGAAAGAAGACATTATTTGGAATAACAATTTCTGGCTATGAATGAGTAAACCTGCCAGGGTTAAACTGCCACAGGTTCAGTGAATCCTTATTGAAATTTGCCAAACCCAAATGAAGTCTACTGGAGGCAAATCCTGTTAATAAATTCTGGCAATTATTAGGGCGAATTGGTATACTAATGTAAACAGAGGAATGGAAAGATGGGTACTACCAGGAGTGAAAATGCCAATTAAAAAAAGTACTCTACAGTGGAAAGAGGATCTTTGTATGTGGTCTTAAGGGCAATATTTAAAATATATCACTACCAGGAAAACTGTGCTAGTGCAAATATAATACTCCCAAAGAGAAAAAGCAGCAAGAACACTAAGAGATATTTTTATAGTAACAAATTTTGAAAGAGAAAGTGCTGTGCTAATTTTTAACACTAAAACATCTTAATGAAAAAATAAATGATCAATTTCATAATTATTCATAAAAAAAACAAGAAAAAAACAGCATGAGTAAATAATGTGCAAATAGATAAGGTGCCACAATTATAAGTGTTTATATAAATACATAAATATATATTATATATTGAATAAAATGAAAACAAAAACCCAAATCATTAGTTATTTAATTGTCCTACAAATCAATTACGTGATCAATTTCCAAAAAAAAACATGGAAAATATTGTGAACTTCCACCAAATAATTTTTGAAGAAGGTATCTGAAGATAAGTTCAAAGCCTCCACCGGACTGTAGTAAAATGCAGGCTTTTAAAATATTAATGACCCCCAAACTAAAGAAAAGTCAAAGAAAGCATCAATGGTGTTATTCCACAAGGGCCTCATCTCCTACTTCTGAGGGTCCATAGAAAGCCTGATTCAGCTAAGGTCTGCAAATACCCAATACAACTGGGATCTCTGTATTTGACCATCCATCACAATAACCTTTCAGCTCTAATAGACATTGTCTGTTCCCCAGGTTGTATAACCCTGCCCTCTTATCTGATCCTTGTTGAAGGGGGACAGAGCCCCTTCTGTTTTTCGTTAGTTGACGGATCAAATTCTTATCACCTGCATGGTCATACACACATATTGATAGTTCTGACTTATTTCATAAAGGAATTTGGACATGGAGGTGATAAGAATTAGGATAGCAGAGGTTGCAGGGGTATGAAGGGTTCAAATAATTCTTAGATTATTCGTTTTCTTAAAGCACCTTTAAACATGGCAGAAAAATTGCGATTTCAAGGCAGAGATCAAAGATCTCTTAAATAAATGTTAAAATTCAAAATTCCCTTTAACAATGTATCAACCAGTACACTGCATTAGAGCATCATAGGCTTCCCATATGACAAACAACAAAAAATTATGGATGAAAACTTCCAGGTTTATAACATGTAATAGTCTGTCCTGGGTTTAACCAGTTCTTAAGGTCCTATAACAACTGCAAATCATTGAAATCACTTGCAATATAAAACTGAAAACAATAACAAAATAGAGGCGCATTGTTTTATCCATATCTTTGTTTTTGCTGACCATCTATGAAATACATAGAAAAATGCATCTATCTCTGTGAACACAATCCAATCCCTTTCAGCTCTTCAAGCTTTACAACGTTCATCAATGTTATCGAAAGCAGTGCCTGACATTAATAAAACCACTTCCTCCTTCACTCCTGCCTCAAACAAAATCAATAAGATGGCAACAGAATTTCTATTCTTCTCCAGCAAGAAGATTACAGCATGCCAGGAATATTTACAGACAGACTCACAAAGCATCCCTCTCTAAACACTCTAGTTTCCTTTGGCAATTATTCAGCTACACTAGATGCAATATACACTGTATATATATATGTACACAGAAGCAGAAGTCGCAAATATAAAAGTAAAGCCAGGTCTTCACCTGTGCTTTATTGTGGACAATCCACAGTTCCATGCTACCACAGCAGCTTTAGGCTTGGGTTAACTGTTCAAAAAAAAACATTAGACAGCAAAAAAGACCTGTTCCTCTGAGCTTTCCCTGTACATTCAGGTCTCCTGGCTAACCTCTAGCAAAAAAACAGTAAACTTACAGTCATTGTTTTCAAAGCAATATGTACTCATCTTCAGCTTTGTCTCTAGTCTGCCTCATCTTCAACTTCTTTTGAGCTTTGGCATATGCATTTAAAGTAGTTTTTTTGTGCATTTTGCAAAATATTGCAAGTTAAAAGTAGCATACATGTTCACTTGCAAAATCACGGGGTGTATTTGAAAAAAAAAATTGCAGAGCTGTTCTTCCTCTGAAACTGCATGTACATTTGCTCTGCGTGAACAGGGTCAAATCTGAATGTTACTAGGCTATTTTCTTTCCAGGTCAAGTATTATTCATTCAAAAGCAAAAGAGTGAATCAGAAAAATATGAGATGTAGCATACTCTAGTGTACATAATTTGGTAAGTGTAGTTAGAGGCTTGCTAGAAGCCTGGGTTTGAGACAGAGGGTGTACTTCAGGTCAAGCAAGAGGGCTCTACATACCAGTCCTTTGGTACCTCCCCCTGCTCTAGAAGCTGCAAGACGTTTCTAGAAACCAGTGGAGTCCAGGAGGAGCTGATCTGCATATTCATGGGAGTCTGACCAATCCCAGGCAGAAGATCTGGCAGTGTGGCAGACTGGCCCATAAATATGACAGAGCCTAGCAAGCAGGTGGAAGATGGAGTACTGAGGGGTGTTGCTGCTAACCTGGGAGGGGACCACAGAGGAGGGTGGCTCTGCCTCCAGGCTGGAGGTCAGAAGGAAGCTGATAGAGGGAGCTCCACTGCCTTACAGTCCATCAAGGAAGGACAGCCTGTTAGACTGGGGAAGGGAATCAGCCTAGCAAAAGCCTGATAGCAGTTTATCCAAAGCTGCAAGACATAAAACCAGTGTGAGTACCTCTACACCCCTACAAGAGAGGGCTGCTACGTGCTATACTTAACCAGTTCTTCCTGGGAAAGTGCTGCAAAGCCTATTTCAGAATCTCTTTTTTGGAATAAATTTCAAAGGCAGCTAGGTGGATGGGTAGTTCTAGCTGGGATCCGAAGAGGTTCATTTAGAGGTGACCAAGTGCTCCTCACAGAGACTGTGTTGCTGATCCATGAAGAGACTGTTGCCACTCCAGAGGGAGTAGAGAAAGTCCAGGATCTTTATCTTTTTTTTAGGTTTGTCCTCACAGTTATTGTTCTAGTCAAATCGGGCATCCCATATGGGCACTATTTCTCCACTGACATCCACCAGGGATGACCCCTAGACCCTATCCAAGGTGTTTATGCCCAAATAAAAAAAACAAAAACAAGCTCATGGACTGGTTACTGACTCTGAATGCAAGTTGGAAAATGCATGTTGCCTGGCTGTGCACCACATAAGGGGGACCCAAAACCAGCGGCTCTCAATGGGGGTAGCGCTACACACATTATAGCCACTCTATAGAGCTGATGATCGTAGAAAATAAATGTCTTATGGTTTATCTTAAAAGACTTACAGCTGCTGTGCAGTCATTTGAGATTTTCTATGGCCGCTTGGCTTCAGCTCTGCAAGCTTCACAGTGCAGAGGTCATAGGCTTTCCACACTTCACTCTTAGTATGTTAACATGCTCTTATATTTGCATATGGGGCAGAGGCCATCACTTTACAGAACTATGTGGACCCTCTCATTCCTGCCCTATGCTCTACCTTTGCACTATTCCTTCTTTTTAAGTAACACATGCCAGGGTATGGAGGATTAGCAAGGGATAGAACTGCTCTATTCCCACTGATAGCCCAATGATGGGGCACTATTCCTCCCACTGATACCAACGATGGGGGCACTACACATCCCACCATCAGTGATGGGGCACTGCCAATTTTCTGTCTTAGAATGAAAGAGGTTCCTATAGAGGTTCCTATAGAGAACTTGTATAAGATTGTACAAGATGTCATATTGATAATTTAAAATATAAACGTGCAACACATGCCATAGATTTGCTAGTGACAGCTACTGGAATTGGGACAAACCATATAATATGGACAAGGAGCTTGCAATAGTCTTCTTTAGGAATGAGGTTTGGGTTCACTGCTACCATGGGTTTGAAAAAAGAGGTTCCTATAAAATGTAAACCCATAGTTCATTGCATGACCTTTGAACAATGGCTAAAAGGCTTAGAAGGGCCAATAAGGGGACTTTTGAACAAACCAGCCTGCTCATTATAAAACAGTGGGCAGAGGACAGTCATAGTGTCAATGTATTTGAAAGTACTATAGGGAAAGAATAAAAAATGCTGAAAACTGCATATGGAGAGATTAGGGTCAGTTAGCAAAATGTACTTTAAAGTGATATTAAAAGCAGCCCTGATCCTTCTCTTCTTGGGTCCCCTGATGGCACCCCTGGCCCCTCCCTGCTACGAAACATGCTATGGGGTCACCAGAGCAGGCTCACTCCCTTGACACCACTCTGTGTGTCCATTCACACATAGAAACGGGGCTTGGCCCCAACCCTCTCTCTCCTAATGGCTCTTGCTGCTTCCTCAGCCAATGAGCATGGAGAGTCCCTGGAGAACCGAGGCTCTCATGCACATCACTGGATTGCGATGCGGCTGAGGTATTAGGAAGGGCTGGGGGGGGGGGGGGTGGAGCTCTAAAATGATGAGGTCTTTTAAAGCATTTTCAATGGACAGTATTGTGTTTCAAAGTTTGTCCCCATTTTATGAGCGTGTGCAGTTTTAAGGCTTGACATGCCGTCTCTTTACTCGGTGCATCCTCATTGTTTAAATGTAATCTAAAAATTGGGTAATATATTGCATTTGTGTGCACTAAAATTAACTACAGTGGATTTTTACTCAAAAAAAGAACTTGATAAACCATTGCACTAACATCTGACATAAAAAAATATATATTACCACATTTATAAATATACAAATATATCATGTTTGGGGTTTTAACTAATATTCAGGCCTAAAATGTGCATTTTAATACGTGTGCAAAAAATGCAAAAATGGCTCTGGAAGTGAAATGGTTAATACATAGAGTGTGCAGAGTGCTGGCTACTCCTTTATGTTGAATTTATACTGTGCCACCGTTGGCTGCACACCCTTCTATATTGATTAGGGGCAACGATGCGGGACAGGATGTTAAATGTTAGCAATAACCTGCCAAAGGTTTTAATACTTTCACACTGTAATCACAAGAAAATGAAGAAAGTTTTGGTTTTAGATATACCTTAACCATTTCATGTCCAAGGGTAGTATAAAGCTCATTATGCCAATATCTAAAGTATAACTTTACTTTAATGGGGGGTTTTGAACTTTATAAGAGAGAAATTATTGTCCAGCCACTTCCTGGGTAGACAGATCATCTACTGACAGAACATTTATATTAAGGGCCAGTTCACACTATAGAAACGCAGTCCAGATGCATTCCAGATGCATTTTTGTATACACATTTTTGGCGGGTTTTTGACGCATTCCAGTGCATTTTTTATTCATTCCAGTTCTTTTTTTCCTCTCTTTTTCTTCAATTCATGTGCATTCCAGTGCGTTTTTGATGCATTTTGGTGTGTTCCGGTGCGTTTTTGATGTGTTCCAGTACAGTTCTGTACAGATAAAATGAAGCCTGTTTTACTTTTTTTTCTGCACCCTTAACACACTGGAACTGCAAGTACCGATGTGAATTATGACATTGACAACCATATCACCTACTTTCTATGTATTTTGGACGTAGAAAATACGCAACTGAAACGCATGTAGTGTGAACCAGGCCTTAAACTGAATGGTATGATTACAACTTAAAGTAGAACTATAAAATGTTGAACTAGAAAGTGTGGGATTTTCAGTGTGAAAAATGTCAATGATAAACACATTTTAAAAAAAACCACAATAAATTTTATTTAATCTTACAAAAAAAAGGGGAAATAAAAAGAGTAAATAATTACAATACTGTAAAAACAAAATTTGAAGCTTGGCTGTATTGTTGCAGTAATTCTCTACATGTTTTGCCCAACAAGGGCTTCTTCAGGGGTGAGAGAGAGAAAAGCTAATAGAACTATAGGCAAAACTTTTTTTTTTCATTTTGGGTAGAATAAGGGAGGTTTATACCCCACTCAGATTTTTTTTCACCATCTGTGTCCCATAGGGGAGATTTCCCTTTACTTCCTGTCCCAGAGCCAAGCAAAAAGTGAAAGGAAATCCCTGCAAATCTAAGCAATTCCTTGAGGAACCCCAGGTCACCAGAACTAGTGTCTCCATTGGATGATTTCTGGGGACAACCCAAAATGTGGTATTTTCTTTTACTTTCACTTTCAATGATGATGGTAAACAGGACAAGTAGAGAGGGCAAATCTCCCTAATGAGGGCACAGTGTTCTAATCCCTCTCCACTCGGTCCAAAACTAAAACAAAAGTTTTGCCTTTAGTTATAATTTAATGATAAAATTATCCAAGAAGACTATTTTTTGTTTAGGGAAAAAATTATTTCAAGTTGGTCAAGTTTAACAAAATTTGTTTGCTAAACTTAGAAGGAACATGCAAGACACATAATTATTTCATGTAACTGTTGGGATACCTATCAGAACAATTGAGTGTGCGTGCCAATATGCAGGCTAGGAAAACATGCACAGGCCCATTGAACTGACTTCTGTGCATACAGGTGACCAATTCCAAAATTGATGCCGAAAATCCTATATGAGGGCTGGTTCCAAACTGAACCTTTGTAATTCAGTGTGGTGCAATTTTGTAGCCCATTAATTTGACACCATAAAAAGGTTATGCAACTGGGAGATGACTGGGTGAGGATGGTACCATCACTTTCACACCTCCTATTCTGCTCTTGGACAACATGTTCCATGGTGATTGGATTTAGGTGTCCTAAGGTGTGAATAGAAATGCTAGGGTAACTTCTTGATACTCTAGGAACCAAAGGAGTGGCTTGGTAAGGTATGAAACATCAACATTACAGAATAAACTCAGCTGCCTGTGACTAACTTCTGCTAGATATTCCATGAGCTGGATAAATGAGAACCTTCACAGACACTTAAGATAAGTGGTATGCTGTATTTTTTATATTTAATAAATGCATTAAAGCAGGCATGTGTTACCACACCTTTCTAAGACCCCTTTCACATGGGCAACCAAATCAGGTCCGCCTGTCAGTTATCCAGGCAGACCTGATCAGATGGTCCTTACATCCCTTTGGACAGGGGTCATAAACGCACTCGTAATAATATTGAAAAAAACAATGTGTGTTATTATTAAACTAAATGAGCTGCTGCAATGACACGTCTAAGTGATCCCACACTCAATATAACCAAAAATAAGAACAATAGTGTTGCGCTAACTCATAACATAAATGCAATCATTAAATATCATACTAAGTGTTCAAAGTGAAAGATATACAATCATAAAAGGAAAGTCCTTTTAATTGTGACGACCCTAACTCATTATGGTGCTTGAATAGAATGTGCTTGAATAAAAAATAAGTTCCACAACTCCAATCAATAGTGCTCCACCGCAAATATGTGCACCTCCACCAATAAGTAAGGATGTCCGCTCACCTCATGGAATTGACCTGTATGATAATCATAGGTCAATCAAGCATAGTAATTCAATCCCTGGACTCCAGATGTCGGCATAAAGCTGATAATGGCAATACCAGGAATGCAATGGACCACAAGGATCTCTTCACCACTCAATAGTTACGTAGTTACATAGCTTGTCTGGCTGAAAAAAAACAAAAGTCCATCCAGTTCAACCATTAAAAAAAAAGTTATAAACCTATACCCACAGTTGAGGAAGGTAAAAAAAAACCAGCAAAGCATGATCCAATTTGATCCCACAGGAAAAAAAAATAATTCCTGATCCCCTGAGAGGCAATTGAATATTCCCTGAATCAACTTTACCTATAAATGTTAGTATCCAGTTATATTCTGTGTATCTAAGAAAGAATCCAGGCCTTTTTTAGAGCAATCCACTGAGCTGGCCAGAACCAACTCTTGAGGGAGTCTATTCCACATTTTCACAGCTCTCACTGTGAAGAAACCTTTCCGTGTTTGGAGATTACATTTCTTTTCCTCCAGACATAAAGAGTGCCCCTTGTCCTCTGTGATGACCTCAGGGTGAATAGCTCTACACCAAGTTCACTATATGAACCACTGATGTATTTATACATGTTGATCATATCCCTCCCTAATCTCCTCTACTCAAGAAAGAATAAATTCAGTTTCTCTAATCTTTCCTCATAGCTGTTCTCCTCCATGCCTAGTATCAGTTTGGTTGCCCTTCTCTGTACTTTCTCCAGTTCCCCAATATTCTTTTTGTGAATTGGTGCCCAAAACTGAACTGCATATTCCAGATGACCACATATAACAAAAGAACAGGCTCCCATAGCATAATAAAGTTTATTAGATAATAACCAGAAACAGAGTATCACTCACAATGTCTCGGATATTACAGATCAGTACGCAGCATAGTACTTCTGGTCCATGACATCACTAAGCTCCACCCCACATGTTACGCCACCAACCACGTGGCTTCGTCAGGGATAAACGCACTTGTGTCTGTCTACATACACCCTCCTACCTTCCATCCGATCTGGTCCGCTAAAAAAAATAAATCAGAAGAGTATCTGTCCTCTTCTGTTTAGGTGGATCAGATTGGAGGGTAGTCGGGTGTAAACAGACAGTGGAGCTTCAGCTGATTGACGCATGTACCACGAGGGGCCCGGCGGTTACTACATATAGGGTCAGTATTCTTTTACTTCTTCCATGCCTGTATTTGCTGTTTGTGTGTGGGAATAAATGCATCCTTGAGACATACTGCACTATTGGCCTCCTTTTGCTTTCTTCTGAGCTCCTGAGG